GGTCATTCATTACTTATCATACAACTTTTTCATCGATACAAGATCGAATTTCAATTAGAAACAAATACTCTTTCTATTTCGCATCTATTTCAGCATCCAACAATTATTCATCATGCTCAACTCATTCAACAATCTATGAATAACATCCACACTGTGGATGAATATTCTTGGTTTTCATTATATCTCACTCAAGGTAAACAAAAAAATTTGTACTAGATATTATCATAAACTAACATATTCATCTCTTTCTTTCTCATTTTAGCGAGAGCATCATTTGCACAAGAACGTATCTATTTAGATGAACAAATTCGTTTTTCATCCAACAAAACAACCATGAATAATATGTATGTTATTCCATTACTCTATCGTTTATCATCTATGATTGATCATATATCAATTACTCGATTACATCATGCATTTCAAAGTGTTATCACAAGACATAATATTCTTCGAACAGCACTTTATATTGATGGTGCCAACGGTAATATTACACAATATTGTTTAGATGCAAATACCGTTCTCAATAATAATATGAAATCATATGCATTTACAATTGTCAATTTTCATAATGATGATAGTCGTCATATGAATGAAATTATTGACGAAATATTAAATCAATCTGATTTATTTGATTTATCGAAAGGACGTGTTATTCGTTGTCATATTCTTCGTTATTATCGCCAATCTCAAAATAGTATCTCATATGAGAATGATGATCTATTGACTGAAAATGATCACATATTGATTAGTGTTCATCATGCAATGTTTGATGGAGCATCAAGATCAGTCTTCCTTCGTGATCTTTCTCTTGCTTATCAATCTGATGACTCATTATCTGTGGATGATAACTCACTGAATTATATCGATTATTCTGTGTATGAGCATATCATGGATATGTCATTGTCTCGTGAATTCTGGCATTCTCAACTTGAAGAATATAATATCGAACGTTCATTATCATTACCAGTTGATCGACAGCGTTCATCAACTAATCAACAACGATCAGGTTTAGCTTCTTCAGCTCAAATCACTTTTGATGATGAAATATGTACATCATTTCTCAACTATGCATCATCACATCATCTCACACTTTTTCAACTTGGATTATCCATATTTTATGTCTTTCTATTCAAGTTAATTCATGGTGAGACTGATTTATGTATTGGTTCTATCAATGCTAATCGATATCGAACTGAATTACAAAATCTAATTGGAATGTTTGTATCAACATTACCATATCGTTTAGAAATTGGTTCTAATTGGTCATTTGATGAACTTGTCCAACATGTGCGAGAAAAATGTTTATTAATTCTTGAACATTCTCATTATCCATTACAACATATTCTTGGTGATAATCAGTTAAATCAGTCGAATGTATCATTTCTTGAGACAATGTTTGATTCTATCAGTGTGACAAAAGATATGAAACATTTAAGTTTGAATTATGCAAATTTAGAGCAAATACCATTAGAACAATCAGTTGAAGTAGCTAAATTTGACTTCTCACTAACATTTTTATACAATCCATCATCAGATAACAAGAGATTATCATGTCGTTTTGTTTGTTCATATGATTTATTTGAGAAATCAACTATTTCAAAAATAGCTCAAAGATTTCAATATGTATTTGAACAATTATTTCAAATTCAATCAAGCAGTATTCCTGTAATGAATGTGATTTTATCAATTAGCAAACTGTCTCTTATTCTTCCTGAAGAAGCTGAAGAAATGGAATTAGTCGTGTTTCATCGATTGGAGAATATTGTGAATGAAGGTATGATTGTATGCTGCTTGTTTTCTTGTTTTATAAAAGTAGTAGTCAGCTAAATCAGTAATGAGAAATATGCATTAAAGTGCACTACAATGCACAGATATAGTATTTTCAGTTTTGAAATGAATCCTAAGGGAATAAAGAATGGGAAAATAAGGATTCAAATGAGTCGTGATCGTGAATGACTCTGGTTGTCTTTTTCTGGTGCTCTAGTTTTGTAACTTTGAAGGAGAGATCACTGAAGACGCTGAAAGTGAATTGGGATCGAAATTATCAAGAAAGTTTTTGCGAGAGAGATTGAGGTTAAATTGTAAAGATCTCTGATGAATATTTGCTTTGAATATGTGAATAACCTTGTATTTTCATATTAATCAACAAAAAGTAATGCTTATCGTTGTTCGAAAGTTGTATATTTCGTTTTAAGAAACGGATCAGCTATGATAGTAGAATCTTTCATAAGCTTGTTTATGTACAAACTGACACTCTCAGAACTTAGATACGCTCGCAGATTTCATGCCAGAAAACAAATCACATTTATGTTACTCAGGTTGTTGACCAGAGTCGGTAAAATCCAGAGTTTGTCGTTGGCGAGACTAGTACTCTTCAGCTTCTTAATGAACTAAGCATTAAGTATGTGACAGGTCACTATTTATCAGTAGTGAATTATCGAGGCTTTTGGGTATCGAAACTGAAATCGAAGTTACAAAATTAAAAATCATGCAATCGGATTCGGAATCACAGGGAAGAAGCTTTTTGGAGTCATACGCGGGTTGATGAGTTATAAAACACCAACATCGCATAGTTCTCTACTATCAAACATTTTTGTTTGCTTTTGTTTTCTTCCGACGTTATATATAAAGTTAGTACAAAGATATTTGTTGTTTTTATTACTTAGATGTAAATGTGTAGATTGTAAAATTTTTCAAATATTGGTAGTATATAACTCTTAGAAATTATCTAGGTGTTTATCAAATCATTGTAGGATGCCATAAAGGATGCCTCATTTACGTATCATAGTTAAAGCTTTTATTATGCATATTCCTACTGGTTATACACCTTATTTCATATGAATATTTTGTTCAGATTATTCTCTTATACAGCGGCAGAGATTTTAGTAATCTAGCACTAGATGTCAAAAGAATAGAATCCCATAAAGATATTTCGAAAATAAATTTTCATGTAATAACTGAAGCAGTTTCATCATATAATCTTATATATGTATTTCAAGTGTATTGTAATAATGTTTGGTTACCTAAAGGATGTAGGATGAAAAGAAATATAAAAGGAAGAAAAAGGGAAGACACAATCAATACACAGATAAAGATGCCATATCATTATACATATATTTATCAAATATTTGAGTGCATTTAAATGAGCTAAAGAAATAACTTCAGTCTACTAATTGAGTAAGAAAGGTTTATATGGAATTAACACTAGAATTAACTGAGACTATCAGCTAAGTGTTCGTACTAGGAACATACTAATACCATTTATTATAATTTTACAAAACTACCATGGTTCTTTTATGTTAATAGTAGAAAAAAAAACAAAAAGGTTCGCCATTCACAATGAGTTTGTATTAACATAATGAAAATGCTGACGACTTTCATAAAAAACAATACTGTTTTTATTACGAAGAGATGAATTCTTAACAGTGAACAATTTTACTTTTTTTTGAGAGAGCTGTCAGTGCTTGCATCATGTGAATGCCAGTTTGACAAGAGTGCCAAGCTATCCCGTTTTTTATTTCAACATTAGAATAGAACTAATACATAGTACTACTAATGCGCATATAAAGTCCTAGATCAAAATCGTTCTACCGAATTCTATGAAGGCTAATAATATTCCCTGATTTCTGAAGCAGGATCCGATATCATACGACGTTAAGCTTTTCATTCTAGAGTATTAAACTAGTTTTTATTACTGCTAACAAAAAATAGTGAATCAACGCTCTTAAAACGGACTCTATTCAGTTACAGAACGGACTAGATGATAAGTGACTACAATATTGTTATCAAACATCATTTGACCATCCAGCTTTTACATTATAATTCACTAAACTCTCATTATTCTAGCACCAGCATCATTTGCACAAGCTCGTATTTGGCTTGATGAACGAATTCGATTCGATCCCGAGAAGCCACAAGTGGCAATATACAATATGCCTTTTGTTTATCGTCTTCAGTCAGATCATACCTTATCCGTTAAGCAACTTCAACAAGCTCTACAGCTCACTACTGACAAGCATCTCTCACTTCATACATCACTTCATTTTGATATCCAAAAAAATCTACTCATACAACGAGTTATTACTCATGAAAATGAAAATAATAATAGTATGTTTTCAGTCATCGAAACCACTTATGAAACAGATGAACAACTTAATCAGATTTTACACGATGAGAAACGTAATCCTCAAAT